ATGCAATAATGCGTTTTGGCGTGATGAGTAGAGTATGAAAATTAGTAAAAAGAGTAGCGCGCTTGTAGTAAGCGATTACCAGAACCTAGTATGTACTACCTACTACTAGTTACTACTATCAGTGTGCCTAGTGCGAGTTTTTAACTTTCTCGATAGCGTAAAAGTTAACTCTGATTTGTATGGAGGTGGAACGTTTGCCAACGTTTGCCGCTAGGGGCGCTGTTCCAACTGCATACAAATTTGAGTTAACTTTTACGCTATCGAGAACGTTAAAATGTAAACAGTTTTTCAAATATCGCAATTAAGCAGACAGCTTAATGTTATTTTTTATAATTGTACAACGTGCAAGGTAGAGGGGAAAGAGGTCGACCGAAGAAGACATGGATGGTGTGTGTGAATGATGATATGAGAGAGAGAGGAGTGAGTGTTGAGATGACGGCTGATAGAAGGAAATGAAGAAAAAAAATTGCTGTGCCAACCCCACCTTGTGGGGTAAAGTGGAGAAAAAGAAGAAGAATTGTACAACGTCAATTCATAAATATACATAGGTTTAAACTGATATCTACACTATTATTGTTTTAAACATAAAAGGAAAAAATGTTATAAGATGTAATCTAAATAAATACGCTTTCAGATCAGAATCATAGTGCAGATATCAGTGAATTTCAATGAATAGTGATTCCAAAATGGAGTACATTAAAAAGGCAACGAATTTGAATTTGAGTTTGAATTGAATTGAATATTCAGATCTGAAAGCGTATTTTATTTAGATTACATCTTATAATTTTTTTTTCTTTTATGTTTAAAATAATTATAGTGCAGATATCAGTGAATTTCAATGAATAGTGATTCCAAAATGGAGTACATGAAAAAAGCAACGAACAAACATGAAATCACAAGTGCCTTAAACTAATGGAACTGTTACTGTACCAGCCAACAATTATTACGAATTGTAATTGAACCTGAAATGACCTGCGCGAATGAACGCTGAAGAACTTTCCGCTCCATCGAAAGATCGCGAATCAAATCAATTTAACTTTCAGCTTGTTGAAAATAAACGCCAATATTTTGTAATACGGAGTACAAGAGTACAAGAAATGACAGTAACGTTAGTGATGAAAATAAAAAAATTAAACATAGACAATTAAATTTTTCAATTAATTTTGCTTAAGGGGAAATTTCAGCTTTTTTTTTAATAAAGTAATTATGCTTTTTTTTATTTAACTATTAACATGAAACTCTATGTGTGTCCGTAGATGGTTTTACAAATCTCTTTATTTTTTATCTTAATTTTACTGCTTAGTTAGTTATCGATGACCAGGAAAACTGTAATGTATTCAACACGTCGGAAAATAATAAAATTAAAATAGAAGACGCGAGATTAAATCATAAAAGTATTTTGTTTTGCGACTCGCGAAAACAGAAAGAACATAGTGAATTTTATGTTTTCATGAAAATTATACAGAAACTTACCTGTCTAAGCAAAGGTGTGTATTTGCCTTCTTTTATTTCAACAGTCTCACCCATTTTTTTTAAAGTTAATAATAATTGTCTATCAATACAGCTTCAATACATTTTCACAACCAACACTTATTAAGTGCACAATACAATAAGACCTTTCGGCCGCCCGACGATAACACGATAACGACTGATTAGATCTTCAATATATTTGAGATTAATAATTATATATTTACATTTAGTTTTTATTTAACTTAATTGAAAAATAACAAAAGTCCTGTTTGTAAATTGTAAGATAATTTTTTTTTAAATGCAAAAAAAATATGTTTACTTTTTTTTTTCAGAACGCGTCCAAACTTTCCGAATGTTTACGAATAATTGGCGCGTAACTTGTTTTGTTGGCAGCCGGCCCGCGTCTGTTGCCGTCTTTGTTCGGTCGGCCATATTTAGCTGATGATTTTATGAAATCCCCTTGTCATTGTTCCCGTTGCTTGCGTTGCTATGTAACAAAGAAGATTTAAGCTTTTGCATTATTTATTTGATTTTTTGCAAATTATCGATTACGGCAATCTTAGGAATCTTGAATGCTGTTTGTTTTTATTGCTTAGGTGAGTGGTAGAGTTCTCGGCCCACCTGATGTTAAATGGTTACCGGGGGAAATTGCTCCACCTACCTTGAGATATGAGTTCTAAGGCCTCAATTTTTTATAGTACAACGGCTGCCCCACCCTTCAAGCCGAAAAACATTACAGAAATAGGCAGGGTAGTGGTACCTATCGGTGCGGACTCATAAGAAATCCTACCACCAGTAATTACGCAAATTATGATTTTGCGGGTTTTTTTTACTACACGATGTTATTTCTTCACCGTGGAAGTCAACCATGAACATTTGAAGAAAGACGTACACAGCGTTTCAGCTGGTGGTAAACCTACGTATTTCTGCCGTAAAAAGTTTAGCTATGGTTTGAAAGGCTGGGTAGCCGTCATTCGAAAGGAATTTAGACTGTTCTCGTGCTTCAATATGGGCTTCGATTTTAATGATGTAACATCTACTTACAGACTGCAATAACTGACAACTAATTAAAGACAGCAGTATTATGTTAAGGTAGGCCATTAAATTTTCTGTCGACTGTATTGGTAAAAAAGCGTCTGAAGAAATAACCAAGTGAGATATCGTTCATGAAGCACAATAAAAAATTGATACTTTAATATTATAATAAAATAAAAAGTATTTCCATTTGCGTTAATTTATTTTGTTTATTTTGTATTTCTTCAGATTTTAATCTAATAAATAAAATAAAAAGATTTAGCAGTATATAGTCTATCGAAGTAAATAGTCTATTGAAGATTTAGTAAATCCCCACCTTGTTTTTACCCGGAAATAATTTCCCCTCATCTCATCTCGTTTTATTCCATTTTATCATAAAATCAACTTCAGATAGATTAGATTCATTTTCATTTACCAAACAATAATATATTAATGATAAACTAAGATTTGACGAAAGGACCAAAATCCAGAACTCTATGGAATGAAAATGTATGGCTACCAAACAATTCAGTTGAAAAGCAGAGGAGAAAATGAAATTTAAATGTTTTCATTTTAAATTAATTTGGCCTATTCATATAGATATAAAGTTCAGTGGGTTATTTGTTTTTGTAAACTCGATTTCGCCAACATTTCTGACATTGTCTTACCTTTGCGGAGAAGATAATAGGTCTGAGCACTTACAATTTTTCTAGTTTGCAAAAGCATTTAGAAGTCGTCGTGGCCTCAAGGATAAGACGTCCGATGCATTCGTGTTGAGCGATGTACCGATGTTCGAATCCCGCAGGCGGGTACCAATTTTTCTAATGTAATACATACTTAACAAATGTTCACGATCGACTTCCACGGTGAAGGAATGACATCGTGTAATAAAAATCAAACCTGAAAAAATATAATTTGCGTAATTACTGGTGGTACCCTGCCTATTTCTGCCGTGAAGCAGTAATGCGTTTCGGCTTGAAGGGCGGGGCAGCCGTTCTAACTATACTGAGACCTTAGAACTTATACCTCAAGCTGGGTGGCGCATTTAAGTTGTAAATGAAAAAAAAAATTAAATTGCAATATGGCGACGGCTTGTAACCAAACGTCAATTCAATAATATAACTAAAGTCTACAATAATTATAAAGAAGAAAACATCGTTAAAATTTGATTTAGGACAACTGCGTGGATTTACATTGGTTTCCGTCGTGTCGTGACGATAGAATAAATTTTATTTTATTACCAATGAGTACTATTATTACTCAGAATACAGAAAAACAACAACAGTTTTTTTCTGTATTCTGAGTATTCATACATCATTATTCATACGACTATTTTCGTAGCCGTGATATTTTGATTAGTCTAGTATTAGTTTCTACTTGCACGGCTTACGTCGGTCACTTCTATTTACAATTTCACTAGTGAGTATTAGTGTTATTTTCAATCAACCAAACAAATAATGACATTATTCAGTGAACCAATACATACTTTAATGACATTATTGTGAAATCAGTCTGTCTTGAATTTTTTTAAATGTCTAGTGTGTCTAAGATTGTAATAATTTAACAGAAGTGTGTCCATTGTGTGGTTAGCGAAACCCATTGACATTATCAACGTAAATGATATAATGATATACATACCTGAGACATGCGTTCCGAGTCTCAGTTCTATTTACAATAGGCACCTTCAAACCGAAAAGCATTACTGCTTCGCGTTAGAAATGGGCAGGGTGGTGGTACTTACCCCTGCGGCCCAACAAGACCTTCTAACATATCCTATATTTAGATGTCATTTAGATGTCATTTAATCTCACATTTTTTATTGTCATTATATTATTTTGACGTTTCGAATACGTTGTAAATGTGCTCCAGTAACCACTTAACACCTGGGCTGTGTGCTCGTCCACACATTTAAGCAATAAAAAAAAACTTTACATTTTTCGTGGTCACGGACGATTGTAAGCCGTAAAGTAGTCGAAACCGTAAAAGTTATTTAAAAAAATTAATATAAATCGTAGCATTTCTTGATACCCGCCCGTTTTGGGGATGTTGCCAAAAAAAGAAGCAAATATTTTCTGTATTCCAATGAAATAACAAAAAGATTGAAACTAGTTCATGATCATATAAATATACATACAGACTATCGAAAAAAATATACACATACAATCACAATGTTTTTAGTGATATCTATACTATAATATATAAAGAGGAAAGATTTGTTTGTTTGTTTGTTTCGAATAGGCTCCGAAACTACTGGACCGATTTGAAAAATTCTTTTTCCATTAGTAGCCGACATTGTCCCTGATGAACATAGGCTACTTTTTTTAAATTTTTTTTATTTTTTTTTTTGGTTTCATGTGTGTTTTAATGTTTCCGAAGCGAAGCGAGGGCGGGTCGCTAGTTGTAGTAATATAGGTTCAACAATTACCCGCGTATTATTCACATGTCGTGACTTCAAAGTGTGATTTAATAGTCGTACCATTTTGTTATAAGTATTTCACTTTTGAAACGACATCGCGATGTGGCGACTAGTCAAACTGTATTCAATATGTTTCGCATTCTGTCTCAGTGTCCTTTTGATCCTAACCCGAACCCAAGGTAACACAAATTACTTGACATCTGAACTCCTTAAGAACGCCAGGTACTTTGTAGACTTAAATAATAGATGGGACGCCGAATCGCATCCAATACCAACGAATCCTCAAGAAGATCAGACACCGAACATCGAGGAAATATTAGAAAGAACCCGAGCGAAAATTAAATTTGAACTACGAGACTACAACTTCACTTATTCCGGAGTTCAGAGATTGGAGGACTTAGTGATGGAAACCGGCGGTCGTCCCTTGAGGAGTATCATCATATCCTCTTGGAGATCGGGCACCACGTTCCTCGGCGAGGTCCTTAACGCTATACCTGGGAACTACTATCATTTTCAGCCCTTACTGAAATATGGATACGTTCAACTCAAACGGTATTCGCAAATAAAAACAGCTTTAAGCTCCATAAAAAGTTTGCTCAACTGTAACTTTCAAGGTATGGACGGCTACTTTGATTACGGAAGACAACACGATTTTCAGTTTAGCCACAACACCAGATTATGGGATCATTGTAAAAACAACATTGACCTGTGTTCAGATTCTGATTTCATGTCGAAATATTGCAAATTATTCCCGTTTCAAAGTATGAAAATCCTTCGCCTCAGGTTGCGTTTTGTTAAACAAATATTGAATGATACGAAACTGGACGTGAAGGTGGTGTTCCTGACCCGTGATCCTCGTGGAGTGATGCAGTCGAGGCTGCACCGTGGATTCTGTCGCGCCGCTCCGGATTGCTCGAATGCTGAGACCCTTTGCATGGGCATGACAAGCGATTATATGGCTGCAGGTCGCTTGCTGAAACGTTATCCTAATAGACTTCTTCTACTACGCTTCGAAGAGCTAGCCCTAAGCCTGAATAGTACAACTCAAAAACTGGTGAAGTTCTTAAGGCTCGAACACACACGAGCGCTTGATGAGTACCTCAACTCCCATACTAACACCGAAGTGAGTGGAGTGACCTCTACATTCAGAATATCCCGCGACGTTCCTTTTCGCTGGAAGGATACTTTAAATTTTGAATATGCTGAGAGAATCCAAGCTACTTGTAAAAGTGCCATGAAATTATGGGGGTATCGTATAGCTCACAATGCCAGCCGTATGGTCAGTGAGGACTTTGATCCCCTAGAGCCGTACAAGTTACCTCATTAATCGAAGATGTGAAGACTTTTTGATGATTTGAACACTGGGCATGAACACTAAATTGGGCTAAAATCAGTATCTGCAGTAAATCCAGTGCCATGAAATTATGGGCGTATCGTATATCTCACAATGCCAGCTATATGGCCAGTAAGGACTTTGATCTAGAGCCGTACAAGGTGCCTTATTTATCGAAGATATGAAGACTTTGGATGATTTGAACACTGGGCTTGAACACTAAATTGGGCTAAATTTAGTATCTCCGTTAAATCTGTCATACTGAAAATTCCTTGAACATTCAATTGATGATTATCCTCCAAACATGTGTTACTGGAAAATTCAATTCAGCTCAACCATAAAGGTGTTTTAAATAAAACAGAAGCTGCTGCTGACCTAAATACATTAATACACTCAGAGACTTTCGTCATGCACTTGAAAAAATCAGCATCATTGAATCGGAACACGTAACTATTACTATTTACTAGCGACCCGCCTTCGCTTCGCCTCGGAAACTGTAATTTATTATTGATTTCTCCACTATTTAATGGATGTTATTATATATATAAACCTTCCTCTTCAATCACTCTATTTATTAAAAAAAAACCGCATCAAAATCCGTTGCGTAGTTTTAAAGATTTAAGCATGCATAGGGATATAGGGACAGAGGAAGCGACTTTGTTTTATACTATGTAGTGAAGAGGGTTCCTGCCACGATTTCCACATTTAATGAATTTCCGATTATTTAGATTTTACAAATAGTCTATCACTGTTATATCAAGGGATGCCTATTTAGTTTATGCTACATTTTTGGAACATTAAAGCAGAGCCACTTAAAGGGTAAATTTGGAAATATATCATAACAAACAAACTTCTTCAGCTATTTGAGCAGAGTAAACTTAATTGAAGATCAATTAAAAACATCGAACTGTTGATGTTAATCTATACTAATCTTCTATACTAATATTGTAAAGAGGAAATATTTGTTTGTTTGTGTGTGTTGAATAGGCTCCGAAACTACTGAACTGATTTGAAAAATTCTTTCACTGCTTGGAAGCTACACTATTCCCGAGTGACATAGTCTATAATCTTTTTTGAAAATAATTAGGGAGCCTTACTAAAACTCCAATAATATAACCCAAGGTGTAAAAAAATTACCTAAAATATTCTTTACATCGCGTGCCCTGCGAAAACTATTGATGATAGAATAAAATAATGAACTACGATTTTGTAGAACACATTATTATTTACAAAAAGTGTCGCGACAGCATATGTCTGACTATTATAGTTATGCCGCAATAAGTGTTCTTTTATTTAAAAAAATAAAACAACGTGAAATATCGTTGAAATTTTTGTTAAAGAATCGAGAGGAGCCGGAGCGGGCCGCTAATACCAAATAAAACTCACCTTTTATTACAAAGATAAATGTCTCGTATTAAGCGAAGTGTCGCTTAAACCAAATAGCCTTTCGCGTAATATAAATTATTACAGTGTACTCGTAATGATGGCGCTTGCAACAGCACCAAAATATCGAGAACTTCGTCAGCAGTGAACGTCCATTGGAGTTTAAACATACATATTATATAACACCCCTTGTGTTCACACCAAAAATTTTATTTTTATTTTTTTGATATATATTTTTTTTTATCTGTGGTGTGTTGTTATTTTTAAACAACATTCCCTCATCATTCACAGCGCTCCAGGCCTTTTTCACTCATATTCCACATCCTTATACACTTCCAATAAGTTAGTAATTTTTTTTCTACACTAGAAACTCTCTAGAAATCTTATATATGGCATGACAACGTTTGCCGGGTCAGCTAGTATAGAGTAAATAAATCTAATAAAACTCAAAGAACTTTACCAAACATCATCGAACACAATGAAATTCAAAACAGGCCGAATTAGAGACAAAAACATGCATTGTCGTATTTTAATACTGGTTGTGTAATATTGTTTAATATGGTTATAATATATCAAAGAACTGTGTCAAGTGAAACTACAAGACATTAATGAAGAGGTTATGTTTTCGCGATTCTGTGAATAATGTATTTATTATTATTGCCTTTAAATGATTTTATATTTAATTTATTTTATATGTTAGTCGGTGGACAAACCTCACCGGCCCGTAGGCTTTATAACATTAACGCCTCCACCCACCTTGTGACGTAACGTTGAAATTTCCATTGGAAAGTGTAAAGGCTATTCCACTGTGCAGAGTGCAGACCAATGTGCTTAGTGCGAATTTTTTAACGTTCTCGATAACGTAAAAGTTAACTCAAGTATGCAGTTGGAACAGCGCCCCTAGCGGCAAACATAGGCAAACCTTCAAACTCCATACAAATCTGAGTTAACTTTTACGCTATCGAGAACGTTAAAAAACTCGCACTATGAACGCGTCTTAGTGTTCTCGTCACCGAAATAGCAGGTTTTTGGTACCCACCAAGTACTTTTTTTATAGATTAGATGGATGGACGAGCTCACGGCCCACCTGGTGTTAAGTGGTAACCGGAGCCCATAGACAACGTAAATGCTACCACCGACCTTGAACAATGAGTTCTAAGGTCTCACTTCGAAACGCATTACTGCTTCGCGGCAGAATTAGGCAGGGTGGTAACTACCCGTACGGACTCACAAGACGTCCTGCCACCAGTAATACGGACTTCGTTAGAAAAATTAGTACCCGCCTGCGAAATTCGAACACCGGAACTGTCGCATCGCTCGATATAAGAATCACGGCTGTCTTATCGTTTAAGCCACGGCGACTACGTTGTTGCGTATGTATTAAGAAAATCGCTTTTTGTCTCTGAATTTGAGGCCGTCGAACCACTCAATACGAATGTACCAAATTACCTATTGGGCCAGGCACGCTAATTTAGCATTCACATTAGCTACTGCTGCGGTAAACTTTTTTGCACGAGACCTCATATGATTTAAAAAAATTGCCATCTTTAAAAATGTCAAGTTATGTTAGGAATATTATATTATGCAATCATTTCTGACGTGCATCTAAGAACTATAAAATGTTCCACAAGTCGCACGTGGTATCATTTACTGTGTCACTGATCACGTATTATTAAATTAAAAAAATAAATAAAGAAACAAAGAATAACTATATAATTATTCATTGATAAATATTAAAATACAACAAATATCATGCGTGACTAATAAAAAATACGGTAAAGCGACCAGTGTGCTTAGTGCGAGTTTTTTAACGTTCTCGATAGCGTAAAAGTTAACCCAATTTTGTGTGCAGTTGGAACAGCGCCCCTAGCGGCAAACGTAGGCAAATGATCCCATTCCATACAAATATAAGCTAACTTTTACGCTATCGAGAATGTTAATAAAATCGCACAGATCACGGATATATTTCTCATATACGTCTGCATCACTGCGGATATAAGCAGCAAAGTAAATATTTTCAGTATGCATGTTATTTTTTCGAACAAAGTTTGTTAAATGTCTGACTTATACGGACGCAATGTCGGCCATCTTGAATAACATTCGAAGCGTGGTGGCAACACAATCAAAACTAGCACCAGATCACGGATATTTTCTCATATACGTCTGCATCACTGCGGATATAAACAGCAAAGTAAATATTTGCGGTATGCATGTTATTTTTTCGAACAAAGTTTGTTAAATGTCTGACTTATGCGGACGCAATGTCGGCCATCTTGAATAACATTCGAAGCACGGTGGCAACACAATCAAAGCTAGCGTCTGAAGTGTAGAACTCCTTGAGCCGATAGATAAATAAAATTTAGTTCAATTACAAAGACGAACACTGCGTACCTACTTCAATGCAATAACCGATTCTTGTCTTAGTACTTAACTTCCGAGTATTCCAAATTGGATCTTACCCGATTTAACATATAACTGCATTTCCAATACACGTTGCGTCTTTATCATTATGAAAACTAACAATGAACAACATTTAATCGAAATTTAGGAAAGTGGGGAGACTGTTGCGTGAAAGACGATTTGGGTAAGAGGGGAGTGAGCGAAGAAATGGTACCTATATGATAGAAGAGTATGGAAGGAGAAAACATGTTGCGCCGACCACAGGTAACTGGGAGAAGGGCAGCATAATGATGATGATGATGGGAGACTGTAGAATGTTTCGACTGTAAAAAGATAATAGGGGTTAAAGTATAAAATTGCCGTTCTATTTTAATAGGTACTTCGAATTGACATAGAACCTTCATGGTGTGAGATTTTTTAATGAAACTTTTTTTTAAATGGTCCCAATGAGGTTCTTCTTTTAAAAAATCTACAGCATTTGACCTGCGACTTTCAGTTCTTTTTTTTTTTATTCAGCTTAGACAAGAAAGATGGATAATTCGAAAAATCTAGTGATTTTTGAATACAAGTTCGGACGCGGAACTAAAGCTGCAGAAACAACACGCAAAAATCCGTACACGGCGTGAATACACTGACAAGTTGAAAATGCATACTTTTCAGGGCAGCTATTTTTAAGTTTACATATTATTATAAACGTATTTAAGTAATTTCATCGGAATTTTCACATAATGTAAGCTTATTAATAAATTAACGTTTTAATCCAAAAAAATGACATATCAAGTTATTCACCGACGACTTGTCAATTTATTCACTTAGGCAATTTATTAAACTCCGAGAAAAGTACCTAATAAGATTGTTAACATTAGAGATATAAAAATACTATATAAATATGTAATAGCCATTTGAATTGATCAATAATTATATTTTTTATTAAAATAAAACTTAAATTCTCGCGGTATCTTCTCAGTGGGTCGCGATGGGTAGTAGTCTCTGCGAATAGTGTTAGCAAATTCTCTCAGGTTGAGCTCACCTACGCGTCCGGGCGTAGCTGGAATAACCCCTTAAGCTACCAGAAAATAGATAGGAAAAAAAAAGATGTCTATAGGAGGATATCAGATTTCATTTTCGCAAATGGTTCGCTGCGTCCACAGCGTTAATTAAAACCGTATCATGTATATGTACGTACACGTTCAAGGAAAATTCCTGTCTTA